TTGTTCCCCACATCAAGAACTTGCAATAATCTGCAATAGCCCAAAGTCCGTGGCAGTATCCCCTCCAACTGGTTGCCATTTAGGTTAAGAGTCATTAGTTGACTCTCGTTGACAAAAGAATTTGGTATTATACCATGAAACTTATTCATCTGCAAATCCAAGAAATAGAGATAACTCAAGTTTCCAAGACATTCTGGAATTTTTCCTCCCAAATTATTATTAGCTAAGATTAGAGCATTAAGAAAAGTCAAATTGCAATAAGAAGAAGGGATTTCGCCAATCAAATTATTCCCTGAAATGATGAGATGCATGATATCCCAAGTTGTTGATAGAATGGGAAGTGATCCTTGTAGTAAGTTGGAACTGAGGTCAACTTGGGTAAGACTTTCAAAAGCAAACAAATCTATACCGATCAAAAAGTTATAAGAAAGGTTTAAACTGGCCAATGACATCCCTTCGATTTCCCATTTTTGAATTTGACCAGAAATCTTGTTCTTGGAAATATCCAATACTTCCAATCTCTCTGCCTTCCTTAAGAAACTTGGGAACTTGTGTATGTTGCAAGAAGAGAATTTTAAAGACCAGAGGTTCGGAAAGGAATAGTTAACACCAGTGCTATTATTGCTCAAAGACAAATTGTTATTGGAAAGATCCAGATGCTGAAGGTTAACAAGTTTTGAAAGCATGTTGGCTGTAATGGTGCCTCTTAAATTATTTGAAGAAAGATCGACCACGGCAAGATTCACAAGATGAAAGAAAGAGCTAGGAAATGAACCACTTATCCCATTATTGGACAAATAGACTTCTTGTAAAATGAGATTAGGCATCTCAACATGATCAATAGGTTCGGTAAGTCTGTTGTTTTGGAGGTCTAAATGGGATAAAGAAGGCAAAGAAAACAACCAAGATGGTATAGGACCTGTGATGAAATTATTATCCATTCGAAGCTCATCTAAAAATGAGAGTCCACTTATATTGTGAGGAAGAGGCCCTCTTAGCTTATTTGATGACAGTCTCAAATAAGTAAGATTAGTGAGGTTGAAGATTGATGTAGGAATTTCACCATCAAAACTATTAGCAAAAAGGCTCAAATGAGTTAGCTTTTGCATTTTTCCAAAAACATCTGGAATTGATCCATAAAATTGGCAACAATCAAGATTCAGATACTCAAGGGTACTACTTGGGCTTGACTCAAGCAAATTACCTCTTAAATGAGAGTTGTTGCTTAAATCAAGAAACTGGAGAGATGGAAGCTGAAAAACTTGGCTTGGAAAGTTTCCTTGCAAATTACAAGAGTGAAGGCTCAAATGCTCCAAGGAAGAAGTCAAGTTTAGCAAGGAAGAAGGCACAACCAGAAACATATTCACAAAATCAAGGATAAGAAACCTTAATTCTGTTAAGTTATGCACAAGCATTTGAAACTTCATGTTGTCAAGAAGCAAATCATCATTATCAGAGAGATCAAGTGAGATCAATTTCTTCAACCGAAAAACTTGGCTTGGAAAGTTTCCTTGCAAATTACAAAAGCTAAGGCTCAAATGCTCCAAGGAAGAAGTCAAGTTTAGCAAGGAAGAAGGCACAACCAGAGACATATTCACA